ACCTCCGAGGGTAGCACACCTATTGTTCTCAGACTTAGATGATTCAGAGTCCGTGATTGTGTAAATTCAAAAAAAGTTCTGATTATTTGGTAGCGAAAGGGAATTTCCTCTTATAGCCATGAGCACAGATTGGTTGCGGGTGCCATTTGAAATTTCTGCGTTTTCTTCACCAAACACACATGTAAAGCTCGTTGAGGTGTGAAGAAGCTCTAGTGTAGTGGATCGTTATTGAATTGAGCCTTTTTGCGCATAGCTACAATCTTAAGAAATTGGAGACACTATTAAACGACAGGTAAACAGTAGGTCGGCTGAATATGCATTAAAATGGATCTTGTTGCTGCGAGAGTCAGAATCGGATGACCGTCGTAAGAACTTAGAACTCAGAAACTTTATCCAGCAAGTATTAGGTTGACTAAAAAGTTTCGATCGACTCTTCATTCCTCTCGAGATTCTTTCGTAGGACCGCTCAGAAAGATTTCGCAATGGGTCATGGTACACCGATCCCTATCCTGTACCTTTAGGGGGATATATAAGCATTCCCCTGAAGTTCTTCGCAAATACGACTTCAACCATCATCTGTCGTCTGAAGTTGTCTAAGAGCTACCGTCTATCACGAACTCCTGTAAAAGCATAATCCACCCATCGCTGTCGCAAATATTTGTGGTGCATCCAGAGGAGTCATCGTATCTTAACCCACGTGTGCCCCGTGACGAAACACCTTCAAGACAAGCAGAGAAGTGGATACGTCCGAGGAAGGTATTACTGTGTCGTCGGTGGGATTCTCAGGGAATGCTCTGCTCTGAATAACTTACTGACGGTTCCGCAGAGATTTACGCTTCTCAGCTACAGAGTTTGGCCGACGTTATTCGAAGGAATCGTCCGCGGAGAAGAAATGCTCGTCTTCTTCACCACAGTGCTCGACCGCATGTTGCAAAATTGTCTCGTCAGAAGATTGCCGAACTTGGATGGGAAGTACTGCCCCTTCTCCTTATTCGCCAGATCTTGCTTGCTGCGTCCGATTACCATTTGTTTTTTTTCGCTCTAAAACATCAACTTCGCGATAGAAATTTTGATTATTGGTGAAACTCAAAACTGAGATTCCCAGCTTCTTCGAATCGCGGGCGCCGCCGTCCATGGGCTTCAAGACTCGAAAAACTGCCGGATCGTTGGATATATGTTGAGGACAACGATGGATGCCATATTGCTAATCGAGATCCTCTTTTAATGAAAATAGGACTCTTCGAAGTAAAGATGAAGAACCGATTAAAACCTTTTACTCAACCTTATACTTTGGGTAAGGAAGACATTTTGTTCAAGCAATAGCGAAGCGATAAAAGGTTTAATTTATAGTGTGCAATAATAATGCGCATCAATCACTTTGTCATGCCCATGACAAATTTACAGTCATCTTCAGTATCGCAAATCCTACAGCATTCTACATCGTACTTCGTTGCTTTCTTTATTATGTTTTGGTCTCGGATATGAGTCAGTATTTGGAACACTCGCATCAAACATCAGAACCAAGGTTTTGTAAAAAATAAGTAGAGGCAAGATTTTCGCCACACCTTCTTCTATAGCAGTTCTGCAGCCGAGACAGCTTGGAATATGAAGGTTCCCGGGTGGGAGACCAGTTTGCGGCTAAGGATGATGTCTATGTCTATGGATGCTCTTTAAACAGTACGAGCATTCCTGAATGATCTGGTTACTGGTACACGGGTCGAGAAGTTAACGTGGTGAATGA